GGCATATTTCCCCATGGCGGATGCGCCTATCATCGCTTGACACGGCCGCGGATCGTTGGCCCCATCTACGACCGAGCAAAATTCGATGAACCAATTAGAATGGCGTCCCCAGAAGTGGAAACATCTTTATAACCCCCGAAAGCCGATCCATACGCACCGTCAACAGTTTTGCAACGGCCTTCGTGCTCCGCGGATCGATATCGTCGGCCCTCCCTGGCCAAAAAAGAACAGCTTATGTATACGGTTTCACGTGAGGGCATTTCAACTAGTTGGGCTTGATGAGCCGACCAGCGTAAGAAGGCTATCCTAGCTGCACATACTGTAAAAATCGACCATTTTTTAACCTCATCCAGTATTATTTCGCGCTGGCATTGCGTTAATACTGTTTCTAATGTCCACGTTACAGAACTATAAACGAGCGATCCCGTCCGATACCAAGTTCACGCACGTGACCGTTATCGCACCATTATCGCCCTTGGGTCCCTTTTTTCGCTCATAACAATTAACAAAGTAATAAACCTACGTCGATTTGCTATTAGAACCTTGATAATAGTTATGAGGTTCCTTAACCGGCGACACGTTTGGCCCACAACCAGCTGCTGTCAACCGAGTTCTCCGATTCATCCGCACGCTGCCAAGCCCGAGCGACTTTAAATCCAATTTCATGTTCTTTCCACCTGATCTCTGCAATCTCTTTCTCGATACTCAAGACGGCCTTCTTTACCTCGGCTTTGACCGCCGCATCATAGGAAATGACATCAGGTTGGATGACCTGGGTCAACTCGTAGATAACAGTCTCTAGGTTGACCCTACGCCGTCGAAGGTCACCCTTTTTGGCATCTAGTAAAGCAATTCGATTCGCTGTAGCCTGCTGCCCGATAGGTTCAGCAGATAGGCCCGCCAGCTGCTTCGAACGACGCTGCTTAGATGGAAGAGGTTTGCGAACTGGCATTTTGGTGCCGTCAGGAATGCGGCGTGTACGAGACATGTGACAGCTCTCTGCCGTAGATTGAGCATCGAATTTGAGGGTATCTCGCGCCCTATGAGTCTGGCTAGCCCCCTCCGTTGCGGTGTTGTCGGTGCTGCTTGATCGACTCATTGGCTGGTCAAGGGTCATCATGTCCGCAGTTGGATCCCTAGTGTTTTGGTGCTGGTGCTGCTGCTGGAGAGGCGCACGTAATCCACCAGTCTGATGCCTTGTGGTGTCCGATAGCGGCAGTTGTGGTTTTGGACCCCCCCCTGAGATCGTCGTCGTCACCGTTGGAATGAATCCAATGGCTGCAGCATGGGATGTGACCATGGCACAAGAGCGCTCTTCAACGAACTGGAACTCAGGTGAAGATGGGTTGAGTCTTTGTTGAGGTGGCAAGGAAGGCGTAGACTTTAAACCCTTGCTAAGCCGGTTGCACGCCCTGTTCAGCTGCTGTTTTGGACGGGATTGTCCGTTCACCCCATTACAAATGTTCGAGGAAATCGATCCGGTGGATTTTCGGAAGGAAATGTTCGTTTGGTTCACGTGAATCTTTTTGGCACCAGCCTCAATAGTAGGCTCGCCTGAGTAATTATCCCAGCTCTTGGACAGGTTGTAATTGACGAGGATGATAATTTTATTCGCTGGTTTCGAAGCATATCCCGTTGCTGCGGGCAGGGCGTTGTGCGAATCTTTGCGCCCCGGGAAAGGAAAACAGGCACTCCCGCCAATATGGAACATACTGACCCTGCTTCGACTGTCCGTGACGTCCAACTTGGGCGAATAAAGCGGAGAATCATCCAAGTGTCTTCACGTTATGCCATCGCATGCTATAAGAGACGCAGGTTTATGCAACGACCGATCACCGTGCAGCGAAGGTTGATTTTCGACAGGGGGATAGTCGTCCTTAGCTCCCAAGTTAACGACTAACGTGGAGTTCCCTTTAGAAAGATGGCAAGAGAGATAGAGCGGAATTTTGGAGCACACATAGGTTCGCATGTAGTATTTAAACGCAGAACAAACAAGGAGATATAAATATAGGCAGAGGAAGTTTTGCGCAATCAGGCATCGGTAGGACGTAAGTCCAGGGTCAAGCAAGGATCGCTGATTGTCATGACCCCTTTTCCTGGAACTCATTTGGTGACGGCCCGAGTCACGGGCAGCATCTACTAGTTTATGGCCCTAATGTTAACTATAGAAGTTAACACCTCTGATACGGAGCAAAAGTGGAGATCTTTCCCCCCAGTAGAGAGTGTGCTAAATGGGCGTCGAAGAGCAAGAGAAATAAGGCCGCATTAGTACTCTGGCGATCAGGAAAAGCCCTTCTGGTTCCATGGAACCGGTCCATTCACTCTAGGGAACACCCGAAGCGGTGTTTACGAGCAGTCTTCGCGTTTTAGTTGGATCGCTTGCGAGAACGATAATGATTAACTAAGTGATTGTGTGATTTAACTAGCTACATTACATTTGGCTTTGAAGGATTTGCTTCAATGAGCGGGCGGGCATATGTTCTTGACGTCGATCAGGGGTTCGTGGGCATATTTATGATCTGTGTCTTTGTGTGGAGCTAAGTGGGCATCATGTCGGCCAATCGGTCTCAACGCACGGACTACCTCTCTACCTATTTTTTCTCCTGTTGAATTTCTCATTTCCTGGATTGGGGCTTGCGTGAATCTCGGTCTCCCACTGACCTTAACGCTCCGGTAGATCCACCGCTCATCGTCTGCCTGTACGTCTTCATTCGGGACGCACGGGGAATATTAGTCCACTGTGGGTTCACCGCGACTTGAAAACAAACGGCCGGTTATGTTTCCACATATTACTCAGGCCTCCATGATAGCAGGTTCGATGAAACTTTTCCCGATCACGGATCCTATCAGCTTTTTCTTCCCACCATCAGGCTACTGTCACGGCGAGGAGGGCCAGCCCGATTCTGATGCCGACACCGAGATCATGACTACAGGGGAGTCAGAGGTTTTTAGAGACTTTGATCGACGAAAGCTACCTTGACCAAGCTAACGGAGTTGCAGACGTGAAGACCGGGGACTACTATGCCGCCCCGTAACGCAGTGCCGCTCTCCTGACTGAGTCACTTCGTTCCGTCAGGGTCTTGTCGTCTACAGTCAACTCTCGCTTATGGCACGCCCAGACCTAGCACACATCGGGTTATGGCACCAAATTCTCGTGGACGGATCCACTTTTACCCCTTTTACCATATAGATAGACCACTTTCAGTCGCGACCCAGTGATCTTTTGAAGTATTTTGAGTCTCTAAAATGACATAGATCAACGACGATTTTTCGAAGATTGGCGCTATCCGAAGCTGGTAAGTCGAATTTTTGCTTTTGACGTGTATTCCCTCCATGATTTGAGCCTCTTTTGAGATGATAGCTGCACGTAACGCTCCGTATAAAGTAGTTGTGTCTGACGCAGGGATGATGTGGACTGGAATATCACAGGCGCAAGTGCCTACCAGTTCATTCCTAGATTGGCCCGAGAAGGTACAGTGACTGTCTGAAACCTCCACGACGCACAAATCCTTATCAAGAACCAAGGTAGGGACCGGGTAATAACGATAAATTCGACCCAAGGAGGCGTCGAAACCTGTGCATCTCTGCGGCTCCATCTCCTTCTCATCTATAGAATTTAAGCTCCGCTTGGGTTCTAGTAGTGCCGTTCCGTCGTCTCTCAGAGACGTTGTGATAAGAGGCTTGCAGAGAGGCATGCCTTTACCATCCATAGTGAGAGTCGAAAGACCGCTAGTGAGAGCCATACTCGCCGTCCATCTCCGAGCTACTAGTTGATATAGTGAGCAGAGTAGGAGATGTCAGCCCCAAATATAAGATACGAGAATGAGTTTGAAGGTGGACAAATGAGGCAGCGTGTCTGGGCGATATTTCCGCACCAAACTGACAAAATTAAATGGTAGATTGGTATGGGGTAGGCTTAAGCGATCTAGCGGGTGAGTAAAGAACGAAACAGTCGAGTGATGGGGGGTTCCCTTGCTGCTCCGGTGCCATGCGGTGTGCATGTTCGGTGGGGCACCACGGTGGCAGATTTCCTTCCCAGGAACAAGGGGGCGCCACCGACGTTATTAGCTACAAATCACCACCATCCTTATGCCACTAAATTTCGGCGAATCATCCACTCAGTTGTAGGAGGTTCTTTCGAAGGTTGGAGGCTGGAGGCGTCAGATGTATTGGAGTACAAGCAAATACACGCTTCAAAACACAACGTAATTAAGTAAGAAACAATAGACGTCCGCCTGGCAAGGGTATTCCGGAAAGGTTCCCAACGAAGATTATAGTGTCTTGGCTTTGGGGCTGGAGAATCAATTGAAGAGTGTAGGTGGTCGCACCAGTTTCGGGACGTATTGTAGCTAAAACACGAAATGCAATACTCACAGTATAGTAGTGTACTGTAAGGAATTTTCGTCCCTTGATTTTTAAATAGCCTATCTATAAAAAGTCGTTTTGTGAATTCAAAAGAACTTATGTATCCTCCAACCCTGACCCCCTCGCGCCCCCACCCCCCACCAACCGCTGGGATACATAGTAGCGAGTTAATTCCTTCAGTGGGCTAATCACTACAATATATACAATAGCCCGATGTACCATCTTCTGTAGTAAGATGACACATTTCGGTATACATTGTGTCATCGGCGTCTAAACTGAGCATACAGTACTCGTTCAGAGTTATTTACTGGACATTTTGGCTTTACTTGTTGTTATTAATTATTTTCTCCTTTTATCTCCTGTACTACTACCTAGCAGAAAGCGTAGTTACACATTCCAGGAATAGCAAATACTTGGAGCGTAGTCGCTATCATTAAACTGACGCGACGATACAAAAGCTCAAAATGGAGTCTTACGGTCCGTGTCGATGCCGTGGTCCGTTTTGATGGGCATCAGACTGGTTCCAATTCTTGTGTCCCGGTCCGAGTGAACTGTTTCACACTTGCAAGGATTTGTCCCGAAAAGGGAATGCTGGCCACAACGCGCAATTATCAATCTCTACTGTAGGATTCTCACCCTCGGCTCACCCAGCCATTTCTCCCTGTGCCATTTCTCACAATACAAGAAGTGAGTAATTGTGTTAAAGTAACAGAGCTTGAAGGGTTTCAGAAATAGCCGGGTGAGTACTAAAAGGCGCTCCACGCCCCCCAAATTTATATTAGCAGGATCTTGTCCAAATACTACTCCCTACAAGCTCATGAATCGCCATATCGGTTCATTTCGAGCCTACTCGGTTTTCACTGCACATTCAATATCATTATGGCTAGAATTTGCGAGTCTCGCGTGGGGAAGAAATACCTTCGACAGAAGCGAGATCGACGCAAGCTAAATCTAGAGAAAAGTCGCACGAGTACAGCAAACTTTGCGGAGCAGATGTATGCCTGGGTATCCGAATCCGAGAGCCAGGGAAAGTGTTTCTTTTCTCGGCGGATACATCGGGATTTTGGTCATTTCTTGCTCCTCAATTAGTATGTTCCTCCAAAGCTAATTTCTGCCCCATAAGCTCACGTTACCAGAAGTGAAGTCTTACTATCCAGCCCCAGTTCAGAGAACTGAGATGAATCTCTAGATGCTGAGGAGTCTTGCTGGACTCCCCAAGCATTGGCTTCTGTCAATGCCCCTCTACAGCGCGGGAGCTGAACCCAATAGCAGCCAAGGTTCTTCGAGAGGCCGTATTCCCGGTCGACTAGATAGCTCCGCAGGAAAGCTTTGGAACGTAATGAAACCGTCCGTGCGTCCGCTGTGATTATATGTGCTCTCAAGTATGATGAAAATAACGTAACCATCATTCTTTTAACGTTTTGTGTTGTCCGTAAAGGCCATAGTCCGTTTCAATTGCCTTTTTTTTTTTTTTTTGTAACGTTTATAAGTACCCTACATATGAGGCCTAGATGCAATACGATATGCAATAATACGGAATGCTTTAGGGCTGATAACGCACGGTCATTCCACCGAACTTCACCTCAAACCTTTAGCTTAGGGCCTTATGACCCCTCCCAAGGTGACATTATGTGAATTTTTGTTGAAGAGGTTGCATCACTGTCCACCTTGAGAGACAAACGATCACCCTAAGTTCGATTTTGAAAAGGTCCACCACCTATTGGGCCGATTTAGTGCCATGTTCTGACTGTCGCCAGTTAATAAACCTTATGCTGAATGAATCCTTGCACCGCTCCGGATACAGATGTCTCATTTAGGTCTAGTGAGACCAGGCCTGTCTGTCAGGGGATACGGATATGATAAGAATCCAACTTCTTTTCACCAGTCTCGCACTCGGGCCCAGAAGCTGGTCTTGCATTACCACTGAGAGTGGTGCCGTCCTAAAAAGAAGACAGGACACCCCTGAGCTTGCATATGGTCTGGCATCGCATCGTGCGAGATGCAGCGAAGCGGTAGTGGACCAGCGACACAGACAATCAAGTAGACTTTGGACAGAGCTCGCTCAAAGTCGAGAGGCCTCGTAAAGACCCGAACTCGCTAAGACTTGAAGACATAACCTGAGCTGCAGACCGACCTTGTTCAGGCCCAGCCACGAATAATCTTGAGTGGAGCTGTTCTTCGAGACATGGGCATACTCCTGGGAGAAATGCGGGTTATCTGGAGGGAATTGGTAATTTGCTGGTGGCCACGGACGGACCTCGTTGAGCCTCTGCCACGATTCATGGTCAGGTGCGCTGAACCCCATTTTATTACTCTAATGCTGTGGTTATCTGCTATCTTGGGTGTGCATATAAATGTTACATTACAGTGGGGCAATAGCTATGGTACTGCCTCTTAGCATTCACTGGTGAAGAAATATATATTAAAACCCGACACATCTTCCGCATTCGAAGAAGGTCTCTGAACTCTGACAGACGAAAGGGGTCAAAGAAAGAATAACCAAAAACTAAAAGAAAGAAAAACTAACCAAAATACCTAAATGATGTTTACAAGTTTTAATGTTGAGTCGACGTAGGGCCAAACTTCAACGAGGTTCGCGGATCGGCGCAAGCGACCATGACCCACACCTCAATACAACCAACACTAAACCGAGGCTGGGAAAAAGTAGCTCATCAGTCCTAGGGATGAGATTGTAGGCACACTTGGGTGATTGAACGTTGGGCCGCTCATAGATGAGGTGGTCAAAACAAGAAACATGAGCCTGTCATTGCTGATTGAATATCTCCAATGCACTATAAAACCTCAATTTAAGAGGGCCATGATGGATTCAATGGATTCAACAGTCAGCCAACGTTTCTTGATCGACTCAGCATCCCTTTTTCTCAACACGACTCTTGCTCGTCTCTCTCGCTGAGCATCTCAAGGCATCAGAAATGTCGATCCAAATAGTTGCGTTAAAAAGAAGACATGGGTTTCAACAGGCCTCATACTTCCGACATAGCACTGACTATGCTCAGTATATCTAGAAGGTACCAGCCTTTGCTCTTAACGTTAATTAATGCAGAGGCAAAAGAATCCATCATTCCTATAAAGACAATAGAGGTGATCTGGAAGGGCCGTAGATATATACAATGGCTACCTAAATATACACAAGCCGACATTGACGCATCAAACATCCAAACCTGCAGCTACAACAGACAGCCCAACAAGCAGAAACATTTCCACTTTTCTTGCGCCCACACCATTCTCGTCATCGTCTGCGCCGGCAGAAGCGCTCGCAGAGGCACTCGAACTAGAAGTCTCGACAGGTCCGTCACAGTGCCAGTGGTCTTTATGCGGCTCGAAACCCACAGATTCCGTAGGACTGGGCAACGTGGGGGTAACAGTGGCCGATGTAGTCGATGTAGCGGCCGAGGTGGTGGTCGCCTCAACTTCACTTGCTGTTGATGAACCCAGAGCAGTAGTAGTCGAGGCCGGGCCGTCACAGTGCCTAGGTCAAAAGCGTCACTAGAGTCACCTTGCGCGACGAAAGTAGTAAGTCAAAACATACCAATGGTCTCCGTGTGGTTCACAGCCGATTGAAGCACTGGGAGATGGACCCGGGTCTTGGGCCAAGACGGCCGATGATAGTAGGGCTGTGATAGCAAGGAACTTGTAAAACGATCCTATTTTGACAGAAGTAAAAGAGATACGAAGAGAGAATACTAGAGCTTGAATCATTCCAAGAAAACAGAAAATGGGTCAGCACCGCTTTATAGCCATAACATCGGGGTCAATCTCGCAGACCGTGCTTTCCGACGCCAAGAAGAGAGGAAGTCTTGGTGCCCCAAAGGTTCTCATCCAGTCTTGGCGCTGTTACTATTGCAACTAGGATCAGCTTTTGCTTGAGCGGGACGCGTACTTGGACGAGCATTGGGATAGCGATTAAAAGTATGAAAATATCGGCGGAGATGGAGATGCAGCCTTGGATGATCTCGTAGTATTGGTAGGATGGACATTGATAGTTGTCCGTTGGGACAGCCCAGTATTGTGTTATTGGGCGGCAGGTGAGGAAGAGGGATAGTTCTGTAGCGACAAACCCAATGGTGACATAGATGGCGATATAATTAATCCACTTTCTTGCTTCAGTCCCTCACTGCTTGATGTTAGTGGGAGTGCTATGAAATGGGACTTGGTGACATGCGTGATACGGGCATAGATCACCAACATGCATGCCTTGAGACCCCAGACGCAGAGAATAAACAAACGCTCCGAGACGAAAACCCATTTGCTGCCACTCGCTCGGCCTTGTTCTGGGGGGTCATGTGTAGTCTGTCCTTATCGGTCATCAAGTTGGATCCTCCACCAGAAGCAACTTGATTTAGAGCAACACATAGTAGCGTGTACCAGACCATCGCGAACATCATAAGATAGTCATCGACTTGGAGGTTACGATTGCCTAAACGTCGAATACGGGCGGTACTATCAAGGGACTTGGGTTAGTGCATGGCCTGAGCGATGCATACTCACAATCGCAGGACGGCGCCCAAGACGCCGAGAGCCTATAGAGCCCATGTTTTTTCGCGGGCGAACTTCACCGCAAAGTCACCACCTAGACCAGACATTGCCTGTGGCCTGTTCAAAGGATTAACGAGGGAGGAATGCGACACACCCACATTTTATAAAATCGGCCGGGGAGATTAGCTGCTATGTATAAAAGATTTTCCGATAGGTGCTTCATCGGCCGACGATCACGACAGCAGGGGGAGGTGTTTTTTTGAAAGGGGGGGATAGAGTTCAAGCCCCAAAATGTATGTGATAGTTACAATTGGAATGGAGAGGTGTAAGAATTGTAGAGGATAAAGACTTATCACTGGCAAACAAGATAGATCTCCGGTGACAGAGCACAACCAACAGGTTTCAATCTTCTGCGGGTGCCATGGATCAGAATTGGTTGGGAACTTGATTTGATTGCGCTGCTCTGATTTGTACCTGACAGTGTTTTCTGGTCCACTTACTCCCGAACCGAAACGAGCTTCAGCTGTGCTCCGGTGTCACTCCCATCCCACATAGGTTTGACCATGTTAGTGCCTAATGGAGCATGGTCAAAAGGTCCATGCGCCCAAAACAAGGCCGTCGCAAATCAAGCCTGATGAAAAAGCGACCGAATATAGCAAGATGTGCGATGCTGATGTTTGTGTGGGCATACGCCTTCAGGAAACCGGCCAAGTATAAGTATTTATCTTATCAGCGGATGCTTCGGGATTTTGGACTTTCCTTGGTTCGCAATTAGTATGGTTCCAAATATGCTTCTGATGAGAAGACGACTTACTATCAAGAACTCCTATTATCCAGCCTCAAAGCAAGTAAACGACCAGGATCTCCCGTTGATAAAGAGATACGGGAGAAACATACATGAAGTCGTAGGATCAAAGTGGCACTTTCGCCAGATAGAGCCTTTGCAATTAATGATTCTTTTTTAAAATAGTTCAGTTTACTGAGCGTAAAGCACGATGAGATGCGGTTCTGGAGTCATATCGGTCCGAGGATCAGGATAATCAAGCCAATGGGGTGGGCTTATCGCGTGTGTAATTCACCGTAGAGAAGTCGATTTCTATATGTATGAATAAGCCCATTCATGACTTGAGGTGAAGCTCTCATGAAGGTTGAAGAATTCTCCACGCTTCAATATAGAGAACTGTTATTGGCCAACAAGCTGCAAGAAGAGGGCTTGGGCTGGAGGCCTGGGAAATATGGCAGAAAAGTGGACATGCCGCAGACCCGTCGAGGAAGACATCTAACTTGGGGTGAGCAGGGTGAAATAAATTCACGCGGTTGAATTGGGGGGTGCCTGGGTAGTAGGAAACGCGCGCACTTGATTTGGAGTGGAGACTGTTGACTGACCAATAATATTCAATAAAAACCCAACTTTCTTCACTGTGTTTTAACACGAAAATGAGTCTAAATGAATCCGTTTATTATTCTTTTCGGCCATAGACTTAGGTTTAGTCACCTGCCGGAACCTTGCTTGCGTGTTGACCCTCAAGTCGATAATGTTTCGTGGAAAGCATCGTTGAGCCAACTGCCAAATAACCGTTGCATTTTATCATTAACATCATTTCTCTCTTCAAACGGTGTATTTACACCATAAGTTACCCAGTTAATCACTTCTTCTTTCTGTTGCCCGCACTTATTGCCCGCATGTTTATTCGTATTCCTAATATTGATGACCCATTCCAGCTTGCCGCTTTCAATCTCGCAGGAGAATAACGTTCCTGGATCATATTCGACCCCGGGATCCATTGAATGGTTCTCAGGCACCCTATTAGTCTCTTCTAGGAGTCAAATCATAGTTCCCAGAGTATACGAAAGGGCTAACGGTAGGTTCCATGACATATGTTGACTGAGTTTGACTAAACTGTCTAATGCTGCGAATTTTTAACCCATTGCGGACTTGATACGCATGTAGATGCCTCAGGAGACAGGCTGAAGAAAGTCCTCAATTGAGCGTTGTTAAAGTCGAGCAAGGTAGTAATGTAAGTCCTATTTATTCGACACTATGCTTCATGTGAATCCGCGGGAGACGTGGGAAAGTTTGATGGCTCTAAATCAAGATTCTTCTTTCCAGCCTCAGGGGAACTCTCGCAGATGCGGTTCTCGGAATTTATTATCATGCCGAATCTTCTCAGATTTCCGTCGGTTTGTATGAAAGCCAACGTCTCTATTTTGATCAAGCACGGAAGTCTCTAATGTAACATAAGATTGACCTAAATTGAGTCAAGCGATTCAGTTGGCTCGCCCTTCTCTCCTGGTGTTCTTGTTGGTTCTGAAAGCTTTGCGGCTTGGGGCGGGCTGGACCAATTCGTAAACGCCACATTTCACGTCTGTGCAAAACACCTTGAAATCTTGAATAACCCTATGTGGGTATTCGTCATGCAAAAAAAAAACGAGGATGAAGGTCATGTATTGTTCATCCTTCGCTTTCTTCCGCGGGGCCTGACTATGGGCCTTTGTGCGAGGACCTGTCGGAGAACGGGGTCGTCTCTGTTCTTGTCGACGTGATGTACATGGACATGTCTGCGCGAATGTGATTGTGAGATTCGGCCCATGTTATATACAGGAGGCTCGGAAGTGTACTAACGTTGAAGATTGTCGGGTCGCGGGTATTTGTATTGCTGGTCCGGACAGAAAGGGCAGGCGTAGCCCGGCGAGCTGTGGACGAGACCGTGGCGCACCATTTCGTTTTTGCGTTTGAAGCCTTTTCCGCCGTGGGCGCGCGGACATCCACCTACTGGACAGAAGTACGGGCGGTCTTGGGAGTGCACATTTGCGTGAGAGCTACTGTTTCGTTAGGTGGGGGTTTTCATGGAGTCGTTGCTTTGACTTACTTGAGCAGATACTGAGTTTTGAATGGCTCAGCAGCACACCCGGGAATCGTGCACTGGTGATTACCCACGGATATCTCGTTGGCCCGGGAAGTGGACGAAGCAAGCGAGACACGATCTCCCATGCTGGCGCCAGCGTGTTCCGTGCGCGTCGAATAACCGGTGGCCGGGATTTTGACAGGCGCTGGGGGAGCCTTGTACGGGTTCTGGACTAACATCATATCAAACTGGGAGTATCCACGCCAGAAGGACGCCCGCGAGGCTAGAGGAGAGTTGGTGGAGGCGTCCTTCACACTCAACGGCGAGATCTGAGAGTAAGGACTTGTGGGGATAGAGTAATTCCCCGGGTATGGTCGGTCGAATGAGGAGCTGTTCCCTGAAGTTGTTGATTCGGGGCATGAGGAGAAAGGGTAGGGTGATGACATTGTGTTGACTGGCGGTGGGCCGAAATCTGACAATACGCTGAGGGCTTCGCAGATAGACGGCAGGGGCTGGCTGTTGTCGTTGCTCTGTGGGTGTTTCGCCAGGATGGTTCCATGGGGTGGTTGGATAAGTTGTAGTGAGGGCAAGGTGAGTCGAGACTTGAGTTCCGGGAAGGTTTTGTTGGAACTATGGAAGCAAGATGAAACTTTTGAGCTTGCGTTACTGAGGGCTTGATCGTGGCTTCTGGCTTGACCATGGATTCTCGTTGGCGGCAGCTCCATCTTGATATAGCTCTGTATTGGTGCTAATCCAGATGTCAGTTGGGAAGGTATCGTCTCGATCTTCTCATTTTCCGAGGCTGGGATTGCCTCCGGTTCCTTTGGCCGATGCCCCGGAGAAATAGTTGGAAATGGAGGTGACGTTTCCAAATTACTATTACCAAAGTTAGGCGGTGGCTTTTGTTTCTTGCCAGGCAATGGCTCAAGAGGAGAAGCCCTTGCCGTCGCAGCAACCTCGGGCTGGTTCGGTGCTAGAAACCTCATCAGCACTCGGTCGCCCTCATCGGCTGAGTTTTGTGGTTCCGGTTCGTTGGGCTTATGGGGTGGACCCGCTAATTCGACGTCTATTTCAGGGTCGGACTTCTTGGGGACAAATGGTGGTGGTGACGATTTGTCCTCTTCGTAGTTGACCTTTGTCGCCTCCATGGGCGGACACTGATTATAGGCGTCATCTGAACGATACATAGAGGGCCCATAAATTAAGTGGCAGGTTTATGAGCATCTCGCCTTCTATCGGAAGTTGATTTTGACAGATTGAGTTGATGATCAAACATCAGATTTGGTGACTGCCTGTAAGACGGTTAGAAGGCTTTACGTAATCGTGACACTTCCGGAGGTTGGATTCGCGTTAGGTATGCACAGGATATCATGATAATGGCATGCAGACGAGTAGACTAATACAATGCGACTACCCGTGGTTCTGCTGCACAGTGTCGAGAGATAGATGCGGGGTTGCCAGGTCTGGATGACTCTTAAGATAAAATAACACATGACGAGGAATAAAGCAAGGAAGCCACGAAGCCACAAAGCAAAAACAGGAAGAAGAGAAAGACATAAGAGCAATGCTGCAATTTGCCCCAAGGCCCAAGGCTTTCGAGATCTGCACAATTGCACTTAAGCGAATCTGGACGGCGAGTGATGGGTCCTGGGGTTGGGGCTCAAAAGTTCATATCAGGAACTTGTCATCTGCAGATGAATGATATCACCCAATCTTGGAAGCGTGCATGTAACACGTACAGTCCATGGAGGAGGAAGAAAAGAAAGGAAAGCTAGGCGCCGAGTCTCAGGTTCAAGATGGCCTGAGGGAAAGAGGAGCGGAGTAATCCGTCCAAAGAAATTCAGGGGTACATTGACTGGACATGAGCATTTGGCCCCTTTTATCCGCGACCCGCCCCGCACCATCATCATTACATAATATTCTGCCGGTCAAAAACCTCATGTATTATATTCAATATGGCGTATACCAACTGTCAGACTCAATAATTGCTTCTACTCTATGAGGCATCGTCTCGGATAGATATTCTAAATGACTTATCTCCGATTCATCCCATGCCTGCTGGGCAGTCGCTACCAAAACCTCCTTGGTTAGACCATTACCGCATATTAGATCTGGACGAAGCCCATATATCTTCGCTTTTAGCAAAGCCAAGAGACTTTCAATCCGCTTTAAACCAGGATAACAAGGAGGCTATTCCATGTCCTGAATTTCCATCTCAACTAAAGCGTCTCGGATGACAGACGCGGAATGTGTCTGAGCATTGTCATGCTGAAAGATACCATCCTGGTTTACTATCAAATTAGGTAGGATTTGGCGGCATAATTGTTCAATAACAAGGCCCCCATTCTCTCTTATCACAAAGGCAATATCTTTCTATTAATCAAAACACTTACAGTCTTCAGCATCCGCTTATTGCTGCATCCTGTTCCACCAGCAGCTTGGTCGGGTTAGCGCGACTTGCCATCGTCTCCGCATGCACTTTTTTATCCTAACAAAGAGTGAGATTTAGAAGGGTAATAAAATTAGGTCCTCATTTGATGATAGTTGATTGCAGTGATCTCTCATTCTTGCATAATCCAAACTAATCGTTTTGATTGACATCAGGTAATTGGTAATCGTTCATATATAACGTGGCTAGCAGGACCACAGAATGATCTAATCGCAATTTTGCATTGAAATGTTATCCCCGACGGCTTGATTGATGGAGAAGCTTGTCTCGGACTTGTGTAAGACTCACTCTGTTTGACCAACTGACGTGGTATGAGATGAGCCATACAATGCATCAACTTAAAACCTACTCTGTTCCAACAAAAATTACATAATCTGATACAAATTCAAAATATTCTAAGAGACGCAAAAATAATGCATTCTAAAAAACACTTTGCGATGAAAAAAGTATTACCTAGATAATGCCTTTCCTATAGGCATTCCCCGCTGTCACCAAGCGGGGCACACATCGCTAGTTGGTAAGATTTTTGTCGATTTCTCGCGGCAAGGAAGGAAGCACTACCAATAAGTCATTCGTCTCACAGAGCCACGGTCACAAAACGGAGGAAGATCGGCGGGCGATCATCCTTGTCGTAGGCAGCTGAGAGCCTAGATTCTTGGCCCCTTGTCAGATGTCCCCATTTGTATAGCCCTTCTGACGGAGCATAAAGACACAGGGTTTCGGTGAAGGAATAATCGATGGTTCTTTCATGGCAGAGATATGCGAGCTTAAGGCTGCTAACGGCCGCATCGAAGTTGAATTGGAACGCACTCGTTCTCGGCTAGATGACTCTCTTCGCGAAAGTCATACGCTCCGGGCTGAAGCCAACCACCTCCGCCACGATATGGAGATTCTTGAGTCGCAAAACGAGATACTGCGTGATAAGCTGGTAGAGACGAGAAGAGGCATCGCTGGAGTAATGCAGACACTGAGTTCGTTGCAATCAGAGGGAATGGAAACCACACTTGATGACATGAACGACAGCCAATCATCAGCCATTGGCAACCATGCAGTGTCAAGCGAGATCTAAAATTGACAGAAAAGCACAAGGTTGAAGCAGCTGGAGTACGCTGAAAGCTCACCCAATATTCTAGTCCTCATGTTGCGGATCGCAAAGGGTGTACACGGCCAGTGATAAGCGCGGATAGTTGATATCCAGCTTTCCAGATTTAAGCTGGTGCACAACTTCTAGCAATGCATATGTATGAAAAGGTTCTGAGCGAGAGATTAGCAAAGTGGATAATAAGAGCTTGAGCAGGGTGGCTGAGAAACATAATGTATCGAAATATCACTAAGAATTCCTACAAACAATTTTGCTGGAGGGGCATCTGCTGCATTGCAACTTCAAAATGACTCTTTCTTCTGCACTAGATGGGCTGGATCCCCTACATGGATACACGTACTAAAAGCGAAGCATAGTTAACAGTCCAAAGATGGCGCGAGCCAGGTAAACTAGGAATTAAAGCTATCATAGCATTTAAAATACACAAGCGTATTAGGAATCGTCCAATAGTATACCGAATGAAAAACTTCTATTTCGTCCTGAATCTAGGTTTTATTCCAAAAGTCACTGGCCTTAAATGTATCAATCGTGGTAACTCCTCCGGCGTAAAAAGTCGACTTTGCAGCCAGTCGTCCGAACCCTCATTAAACTATAGAAATTGGTCTAGTGATCACACAATTTGGACGACACATCGCTTAGCCGTTGTCGGGGCTCCATTGTACTCTTGGTTCCTGCTGAGCCTGTCGCTTGAATTGGATATATTCAGTAAAGTACAACGTAATTCATGCGTGATATTACTGGTAATAATATGAGGCTGGCCTGTTCATGCTGTGAAAAGGTAGTGTGCATCCACATGCATCTTTGTGCGGGCTAATTGCTCGCGTCCCCGACAGTACAGTCGAAGGGCAGATGTTTAGTGCGTTCGCGCTAACGCTCCACGGAGTCCTGCATATAAAGTGGTCCTCAATCTTTTGAGTTCGTGATTCTCGTTCCGACGCACTTGCTTTGTATGAGCCCTGCTCTGTTTCAGATCTTACGCTTAGGCCTCTCCCTATGCCAATATAATGCCAGATTCTCGGCAGGTCACCGCTGATACTTTTCTCATCCCTTCTGCGACTCATTGATTCACTGTTGATTGAGAGAAACAAAAGTTCGAACATGGCAAAGAATCCCAAGCCTCCTCAGGATGACGCAGACCTCAGGTCTGACGGAGTATAGCGGCGTGCTGCATCGTCATTTTATTCCGTTTGCTCTACCGGTTCTGAGACCAAGGATAGACGAAAGTCACGCAAACCAGAGACGAAATCACACAGAGATTCGGTACGCCAATGCTCACCTTTTTGGATCGTACTGCGCTATGGCCAGAACAGCCCCGGTGACACCCCTTTCATTTGAATGTACTCTTTACTGACCGTGCTAGACATCCTCGATTACGAAGAAGCCCAAAAGGAAAAACGACAAAGCGACGCATAGAAAGTGTCTCCGGGTGATGAGCAATATTGAGGAGGAGTTTCAAGAGGTGCTTGGGGAAAGAGATGGAGAGAACCACGGCCTTTCCCAGTTGCTGGACCAGATCAAAGCCGAGAAAGCGCAAAAGTCTTCGGAATTGCAAATCGCTGTCACGGCAAGGGTTACCGCATTAGCCGAGCATCAGAAGCTCCAGCGTGGGATTTGCCAATTGCAGCAGCAGCTGGAGTCCACGAACACCGCGCTGCAAGATCAGGTCCCGTGGAATGATATACAGCTGGTGTTGGATCAGGCACACGCAGAGCTGGTATCCGCGACCACTCGATTCTGGAGCGCAATCGACGCACTCCAGAACAGACGACTGGCATCCTATTTGCCAGGCTCCGGAATGATCCAGGAAGAATGGCCCGATCAGGGCGGCGCGGGTACGCTTGGCCACGATATGCTCCCCAGCATCTCCCAATCGAACAATGACAATGTCCCGCTTGGTACTCAACATGAACTACCTACGACCAACTGAGATGAATCTTTTGTCTGACAATTAGGGTGCGTTGGTCTGAGTAGGTCCTCACTCGTTTCCTGCAGAAGACAGCCTTTGCAATGTAGTCGACGCGCAGATAGTTCGTGAAGAAGCATTTTGCTACGTTCTGATTATATATGTCCCGTGCCAAACCGTGTGTATTCTATTAATTATCCTCAAGGGCAGGGCTAGGTGGTTTCGTAACTTGAGCACGCGCAAGCACCTGCGCCTCGGTACAGTATTCAGCATCACACCGCTCAAGGCCGAGACGCTCAGATACGCTTTAGATGAGAGAAAAGACCTTGTCACGCTGGCCTGTGGATTTGTTACTCACGTGGTCTCCCCATGGCGTAAAGGAAACGTATTTCTAATAGTCCGATCGGAATATCGCTAATATCTGTGCTATGGGTTTCGTGGAGAATCCCACGCTTCTCTTGCGCATTATAGTTATTCTTTCTTCTCCGCCTGCAGCCAAAGCTTGCCGTAGTATCCTGGTCCAGCCCAATTACAAATAGCAATTGCTCGTTGAGTGCGATATCGCAAGTCGATAGATGTGGCACTACTGTGCGAGTATCAACTGCTAAGGATGGCACCTTGTTACATGGCGTATGATTCTAGAGCACTGCTGTAGGTTTAGCCTTCTTGGGAATTTCCTCACTTATACAGACCGAGTACAAGCATAGTGGGCCAGGCAATACAAATCAGCTGCAATGATGGAACTAATCAAATATTTAATCTACTCGGTAACACATAGTGGCTCGCGACTATAGCCCGTCGGTTCAGAAGAGCCATTTCGGCACAGTTCATAAACCAGCCATACTTTTCCGTCTGCACAGCTTAGGGAAGCACTGGTAAAATACAAACACCCCATGCAACGACAAACGATCCATCGCTCGCCATGGCATTAGCTTGGCATTGAGTCAATCGAGGCTTGTCCAGTGACCGTCCAATCCATCATCGATGATGAGCGTGTTCATATTCTATTGGTTAAGCTCGTGGGCATACTTCAAGTCCAACACAGACTGATATCTTGCTCTGATGTACATGGTTGGGTATCCAAGTAAAGCTTGAACTGCATCACTGCTGCCGACGCAGGGATCGCCCGATCTTCTGGACCTCTGTAGTTTTGCTTGGACCCTGCCTAGTCACCTTCTGGATCTCAGTTTCGACGATCGCCAATCGACCAAAAACGTCGGTCAGATCGTTGCGAATGGTTTCATTCCAGGTGGCTTGGTCATGCGATGAGCGCTCAATAGACCTGCGGAGACGGTTAGCGCTTTACAATGTCACTCAAGATGGACCAGAACTGACCGCATCCGGTTATCTAGTCTGGATGTTGTTAGCAAGCTCATCGTAAATTATGTCCTTGACAGGATTGTACTTACTCCGTCAGACATTTAAGAGCAACCGTATTGCTGTCTCCGGAAAGCTGAGTCTGCCCGCGCGTTTCCAAGTCGGTTACGTGTCCAAACACAGTCTTCCGCTGTCGTACAGCTTCTTGCTCGGTCTCGTCAGCTGAGGTGCTATTGTCCTGGTCGCCAGAGTCGTGTTCCTCCTGAAAAGTTGACTCGTCCACTGTGGTATCGCCTGTAGCGGACCTGGATGGACTACCAGTATCTTCAGACTCAGAGGACGACAAGGACAATGCACGTTGCAATCGGCTTCGA